TCCAACCCAAACCATTTGATGATTCTATATATGTGATAATGTACTATATAGAATTCATAAAAATTGATATTTAATATATTGCTACATTTTAACTACAGGTAGGTATATGTACATAGGTTTAGGTATGGAGATATCTAGAAGTAGAGACAGATCTCTGTCTATATAGATATTATCTATAGATGTTTCTCTGTATATTGAATGTGTATCTCTATATAACTGTAGCTATTATATATGTAATACGTAGAAAAATGACCCTCCCACCCAGCAAAACCCCCGCGCCCGGGCGCAGCCGCCGCCGCGCAACATCCCGGCCTCTCCCCGCAACCCGTGCGGGGCCATGGGGCTTCTTCCCTCCCCTCTGACAGACTAAAAGAAAATATTAAATATGTAGCAGATCTAATCATATTATATCTATATCGGCAGCTGTATTTAATATCGGTATATTATATCCATTATCTGTCGAGCTTAATGAATATAGATAAATCGGTACATTCAATATATATATTCAATAATATCTGAATAATACAAAATGCCGAAAATAACAGTACTGTTCAGGCCTTGTATATCTATCAATTATCTCTAGATATTATTGAGTATATATATTGAATATCTCTTGATATTACTGAAGACACATGTAACACAAAATATGTATTTAGTATATATATTCAATACTATCTAAACGTAATTGATAGATAGGTAATAATATAGAGATTTTTATATCTAAGAATCTCTATATTATTATATATAATCTGTCATATTATATATAATATATATATTGACAGATTATATATAATATATATAATATATCTGATATATAATAATATATATCTGTCAGATAATATATGTCAATATAGGTATTTAGTATATGTCCAATAATGTGTATATACATATATACTTATATATAGTATATATACATATATATAGTAGGTACATATATACACATATATTATCCACAGATTATGGAATAGATGTCATTATATAAATTCAATGATATCTCTATATTTTTAGACATATATTAAAAATATAATACATGTATATATGAAACTTATATGCATATATAACATATATATTTATATATGTGTCTATGTATGTGTATATAATATATATGCACAAGACATAGATGAATATATTTTAGCTACATGCAATTGGTATATATGAATAAATATATGAAATAAGTGTGTTCTGCATATGCACGGGTATATAGGAAATGATATCCAGGCCTCGTACCTCGACCGGTACCATTTTGTAGGTGTCCTTCCGTGTTTTCTGTGTCGAAACCAAAGGAGATACATCCCCAGGCCCCAGCCATCGCCCTGATGCTGGCTGTAGCCGGGGATTTCGGCTGCGAGAAGCCAATGCTCGGTCTGTGCCTCTTACTCTGACCATTTCCACCACGATCAGCAGCTCTGGCTGTCGCCGGCTGCCAAGTTCGGAGCTTTCGGGAGGCGTTTTGCCAGCTGGGTCTGAAGAAAGTGTACGGAGCCTCCTTGAAGGGATTGATAATCACGGCACAGCGCCGGGCAAACCGGGAGCCGCCGGCACCGCACAGCCCCGGGATGGTGGCGTGGAGAGTCCTGGTGGCCTCCCGGAGCTGCTTCGCCGGGAGGAAGAGGAGGAGGAGGAGAGCTGGAGCTGGGATGGGTCGTCTCGGCAGAGCCGCGGTGGTGCTTGGCTGGATTACGATGCCTTCCTTAGAGTCCATGAATGGTTTGGGTTGGAAGAAACCTTTAAAGGTCCCCTAGTCCAACCTCCCTGATCCCTGCTGAGCTGCTGGGCTACACCGGTAGGCGTCTAGTAGATTTTACGCCTCATTTTTAATCATAGGATGATCGTTGGGCACCCTAAGAATTGGGGTTTTTTAATGGAGTGGAGACCGTACCCTGTCTTTTCTCTGCCCTGCTGCGTTTAGGGCATGGTCCCGTGCTTGGGGAGAATCATTGAATCATGGAATGGTTTGGGTTGGAAGGTGACTAGGTGATTTTAAAGGTCATCTAGTCCAACCCCACTGCCCTGGGCAGGGACAGCTTCCACTACACCAGGTTGCTCAGAGCCCCGTCCAACCTGACCTTGAACCCTTCCAGGGATGGGGCATCCACCACCTCTCTGGGCAACCTGGTCCAGTGTCTCACCACCCTCATCGTAAAACATCTCTACCTTGTGTCTAGTGTAAATTTCCCCTCTTCTAGTTTAAAACCACCACCCTTTGTCTTATCACTACAGGACTTTTTAAAAGTCCCTCCCCACCTTCCCTGTCCCCCCTTTAAGCCCCGGGAGGCCGCTCGAAGGGCTCCCCGGAGCCTTCTCTTCCCCAGGCTGAACCCCCCCAGCTCTCTCAGCCTTTCTCCACAGCAGAGCTGCTCCAGCCCTCGGACCATTTCCGTGTCCCTCCTCTGGCCCCGCTCCAACAGGTCCGTGTCTGGCCCGTGCTGGGGACCCCCGAGCTGGCTGCAGGGCTCCGGGGGGGCTCCCCAGAGCGGAGCAGAGGGGGAGAATCCCCCCCCCCCCCCCGGACCCGCCGGCCGTTAGGTACTCGATATAATTTTTATGGGCTGCATTAAGCCACTGATACGGCAACAAAATCTACCTCCAGGTCCTGCAGCCAACGCTGGCGGCAACCTTGGACTTGCAGAGGTTTTGTGGCGAAGCTGCTGGGTGTCCGTGGATGGCCCTGGTGTCCCCTCCTGCCGTCGGTGACTTCAGACAACGGTGCCACCGCTGTGACTCTTTTCAAGTAACCGGGTTTTGTAAAAACTAAGACTCGATGCTCCTCCCTGGGGCAGTTTCAGGAGGACCAAGCCCTTGGGGAAACGGGAAGCGGGGCAGCAGCTTCTTCGTGCAATCCCAATCCCCTCCGCAAAAACCAGGCAGCAATTCTCCAAGCTCGGTAGCCAGTGGCAACAGCCTGATGAAATGAATAGGCTGTCACGCTAAGCGCTAAGAAATGTAACTATTACATTTTACAATTCTCTTTTTCTTGGCAGCACATGTTCATTTAAAGGTAATGCTCTCCGGGGTTTGCATTCTGCTGATAGGATAGCGGGATCTTAATTTACAGATATTCTCCAGTAATGCGCGGTTTATATACGTTCTGCTAATAGCATTATGAGCGTAGTTTGGGCTAATACAAAATTAGAGCTCTGATTTGCATAAACAAATTACTGTTTGGATTAGCGCTAAATGGGGAAGGCGTCTGATATTTGAGGAGATTTGAGTTGACTGCACGGGCTCTGTTTGTATAACGGCGTATGTAGGAAAATGAGCTGGGTGGCTCCGCGCGGGCTGGGAGGGAGGCTGGTGCAGGAGATACCAGGTCGTGAACCAGAGGGGATTTTTGGTGGCAGCTGATCTCTTCTGGGACATATTTATTCCCCAGGGTGTCACTTAAGCTCTTGCAGAATAACCTTGTGGGCTCGCAGCTCCCCCCCGCATCGCTGTCCCGCTGCCTCGCCGCCGGGTTTGTGGACGGAGGGAGGTGGAGGGGGGTCCCCAACGCTGCCCACTTGACCCCACTTGGGTCCCAACATCCACGCCAGGAGATAGTTGGGGGGGATGGCAGCGGCCTTGGGCGACTCGTGCCGTGCAGGGACGTAGGAAAACTCTTGGAAGAGCCAGATTTGGGGTGGAAGATTAACAATAGCCAAGTTAGAGTGCCTAATAATGGTTGTTATGATACCAAAAATACCGAAGCTCGCAGAGCTCTGTAAAACTTGGCCAAGCTCGGGTCTCACGTGGCTCGTGGGGTTGCATCCACATTTCTTTCTGGGGACCCCACTTGGGTCCCAACATCCACGCCAGGAGATAGTTGGGGGGGATGGCAGCGGCCTTGGGCGACTCGTGCCGTGCAGGGACGTAGGAAAACTCTTGGAAGAGCCAGATTTGGGGTGGAAGATTAACAATAGCCAAGTTAGAGTGCCTAATAATGATTGTTATGACACCAAAAATACCGAAGCTCGCAGAGCTCTGTAAAACTTGGCCAAGCTTGGGTCTCACGTGGCTCGTGGGGTTGCATCCACATTTCTTTCCGGGGACCCCACTTGGGTCCCAACATCCACGCCAGGAGATAGTTGGGGGGGATGGCAGCGGTCTTGGGCGACTCGTGCCGTGCAGGGACGTAGGAAAACTCTTGGAAGAGCCAGATTTGGGGTGGAAGATTAACAATAGCCAAGTTAGAGTGCCTAATAATGATTGTTATGACACCAAAAATACCGAAGCTCGCAGAGCTCTGTAAAACTTGGCCAAGCTCGGGTCTCACGTGGCTCGTGGGGTTGCATCCACATTTCTTTCCGGGGACCCCACTTGGGTCCCAACATCCACGCCAGGAGATAGTTGGGGGGGATGGCAGCGGCCTTGGGCGACTCGTGCCGTGCAGGGATGTAGGAAAACTCTTGGAAGAGCCAGATTTGGGGTGGAAGAATAACAATAGCCAAGTTAGAGTGCCTAATAATGGTTGTTATGATACCAAAAATACCGAAGCTCGCAGAGCTCTGTAAAACTTGGCCAAGCTCGGGTCTCACGTGGCTCGTGGGGTTGCATCCACATTTCTTTCTGGGTTTTTTGCTGGGACTGGAGCCACGAGCCCAGGGTGTGAGGTGGGGTAGTGCGGAGCGAAGCCGTGCCTGGCGCGGGGCGTTGGGGGCGACGGCAAATCTATTTGCAGAATTTAGGGACAAACACCTTTGTTGGGTCCTAGGAGGCTACGGCTGGGTGGGGGCTTGACCTTCAGCGCGTGGTCTCTTCCCCTGCGGCACTGCCGTGGGCGCGCTGGGGGAACGAGACGGCGTTTTGTTCCGTGGGGGAAGCGGTGCCCCGGGGAGAATCCTTGAAGGTTGGTTTTTTTTTTTTTTTTTGGGGGGTAAATCACAGGGGATCAGAGCTTTTCCTCTGTCTACAGCAAGAGCGGCATCATCCTCAGGGCGGCTGAGGGCCTCCTCACGAGCCAGCAGCTCCTTGTGACCTCATCCCTAATTTGGGTTTGCCTCGATCTTCTTGTTTCCTTGCAGATCCCCGCTCTTAAACCAAACGCGCCCGTCGCCTCAAGGCGGCAAGTCCCAGCACGTGCAACAGAGATGGAGGAACAAGGGCTATCGCTGCATCGGCGGGGTGATGTACCGAGTGTCGGCGAATAAACTCTCCAAGACGTCCAACACCCTTGGCCGGGGCAAAGACCTGAGCACCAAAAGCCCCGGCAGAGCAGGTGAGCGGCAAGAATTTGTCCCGGTCTGCGGCTAAAATCCGTTGACGTTCCAACTTGAGAGTTGAGGTTGGCTTTCAGTTGCTTATTCCCACCCCGCCTGTTTGCAACTCATCCTCTGGTCTCACAGGAGCCCAGACGCAAAGGTGATGGGCATCCCATCACTGCCAAAGCGCATCCCCCCAGCTGCTCTTGCTTTACAGAAAGCGCCGAAGGGAAAATAATGGAGAAGAAATGAAAGGTTTGAGAAAAGTGAGGTTGTTCTTAACTCCGGCTTACTTCAAGCTTGGAGAGATGCGCCGTTAAACTTGTTTTCTTTTTTTTTGAACCCGAGCAAAGTCTTGGGCAACTTCAAACGCGACCGCAAGATTAAATGTATTTGAGATGCTCATCAAATAACATTCAATATTGACCTGAGGAAAGCTGGGAGGATCATTCTGCAGATAACTGTGAAACAGGCATTTTGACACAGTTACGGGTTTTACATTTAGCTTCAATTAAATTTGTGTTTCAGCTCCTCTTGTGCTTGATGCCTCTAGTGTGGCTCGTAGGCCAGACCAGGTTTCTAACTGTGCTTAAAGCATTTTTTTGAATTTCTACTTGGGGTCAAATATTTTTGCTCTGTAACTGCTATATTGACAAATGTGGGGGACAGTTAACCTGAGAAAGGCAAAGCCAATGGCTTTGTGCTGTTGTTTTCCCTTGGTGGAAGGATAAAAGGTGCATAGACGAGTATATTCATGGATGATGCTATAAATGAGACAATTTAATGCCAAAGTCATTTTATTTAGGGTGGGAAGGTGGATGAAGAGAGACAATAAAGAGCACAGTGTCGTCGAGATGTGCAGCCTCTGAAGCTGCCTGCACCCCGATTCGTGTGAGCGTGGTGGAGCGTCCCGGGTAGTTTTCAACCCACAAAGAACAGGGATTAGGGAGGGAAGGAGCTTGGCGCAGGCACAAAAATCCCATCAACAGGAGAGCTGAGCAGCTCCGGGGAGTTTGAAAAGCGTCTGGAAAATTAGGAACAAACAGCAACATCTCAATAAAGAGTAAATACCTCTCCCCCCCCCCCCCTCCCCGATGCTCACACGCGGCTGGTAAGTGGCGTTGGAGGGAAAATGGAGAGAGGGAAATGCGGGGCTGGCGGGAGAGGGACAGCCAGCGATGATAAATCCTTACTGCACATCTTCGCTGGCGGGGAGGAGGGCAGAGATTTAGCTGGAACCACAGATTAACTGCCTGGGCATGGGAGGGTGGGAAATGAAGAGGCCTGCGGCTGCTGGCAGAGATGAGGATGCTGCGGTGGCCGAGGGGGCACGGAGCCAACGGAGCATCGCTTTTTCAGGTAATCTCCCTTCTGAGAGCATTAAAGGGATGCTCGGTAGCGGTTTGGGGACGGTTTGCTGGTTTTTTTTTTTTGCAACTCAGCCCTGCTCAGGCCAGATTTTCAGCGGCTGACCAGCCTGCGACATCCTCCTCGCTGCTGGCTCTGCAAATAGGCACGTGCACGCGCGTGAGCGCGCGTCCGTGTGGCTTGTTTTGAAGTCGGCCATCCTACCTGCGTGCTCTTCAGTCCCTGGCTTTGGTGCTGCATCTGGCGGAGGATGGGCAAGGATCAGTCTTCAGAGGCGTGGAAAAAAAAAAGGCCAGAAAGCAAGCTGAGGCATCTGTAGGCCAAGCAAAGCCTGGTGTCAGCGATGTCGGATTTTTTCCAAGAGCTTTGCTAACGGCACCGGGATTTTCCGAAGTGTTATCAGCTGCACGAAACCAACTCGAGGGTGGTTCTGCCATAAGCACCGTTCCTGGGTGTTGAAAGCAGCAAACATCTTGCTGGAATGCTAGAAAAGGGATGAAACCCCTGAGACACGGGCAGGGAAGATGTTGGCTGGAGCGGGTCCGGTTTTGGGGCCACGTTTCAGGAGAGGATTGAACCACGGGGTAGGGCCCAGGGGGGAAGTGATGGCTGGAAGGACTGGAAAAGTGGAGGACCTGGGCCTTTGCGATCTGAAGAGGAGCAGATGGAGGGGCTGCAGGTCCCCAAGTTCATGAAGAGCTGCCGAGCAAAAGAAGGCTGTCTTCTCCGTGGCTAGGTGGAGCAGCCAAAACCCAAAGAGCTTAAAGTGTTGCCAGAAGGGTTCAGGGAGAGCTTTGTTCAAAGGATGAAGCTGATGAAGCGTTGGAGTAAGCTGACTCTGAAATCTCCATTATTGGGATTTTTTTAGAGAACAGCTTACACAATCTTCTGTTTGGGGAGGCCGCAGTTGGGCGAGGTCCTGCCTTGCAGCACGGAGCTGGACTTGACTCAAGCTGCTGCCTAATTTCCAGTCGATGCGTCGGTAGCTTTAATTTAGGTGCTGGGAGGACTTGACTGTCCAACACCGTGCTGAAATCACTATTTCTGCTGCTATTTGGAGCACCAGCCTTTCCGAGGCAGCCTCTCGCAAGCCCGCATCTGGCATGGGCCATATTTAAAATGCTTGGTCCAGACTATTTTGTTTTGGTTTGGTTTGTTTTTGTTTTTTTTTTTTTTTTTCCATTTATCTAAGTCCAAAAAAGTCTCTACGGTTCTGTAGCCACCGGGAAACAGCAAAGTCATGCGTAGGCAACTCAGCAAAGGCTGATGGATTCATCCTGTCCATGAATATCCACCGCTGGGCTGGGACCAAGCGGAGAAACACCAGCTTAGAGTGCAATTTCTGGAAGAGGGATTGAGCCAAAGGTATGACGGGAGGATTTTTTTGCAAATTCAGGCGTCGTCTTTGCTCTTGGAGCTTTGCTGAGGGGGGATTTGGGGTATGGGGACGGAAACAGCAATGGTTTTCAAGGGATTTAGTTTGCAGAGGTGACCTAAAGAAGCTTTAAAAAGCATAAGGCTTGGTAAAGGGCACGGGGTGAGCGTGCACCAGCAAGCACGGGCTCCTTTTGTGGATACTTCTCCCCCCTTTTTGATCTCGGTTTTAAAATAACGAGACTTTCATGGAGGTGTGCAACTGTCTCGGGGTTAGCAGGTCAGGCCTGCTGGCTGGTGATGGGGAGGGAACTGCTCCCCATTGTGGCTTTATTTGGGGGTGGTGAGGTGTGGAGGAGATGCAATTCTTCCTCCCCCCCCCCCCAATATCTTTCCTTCCTCCCCGGTACCACGTCCTTTAGTGAGGTCTCATTTAGAGAAACGGGTTTAATTAATCTCTCTTTGGGACAGAAGTTTCCCTTCCAGGGTTCTTTTCTATAAATTACAAACCCATCCAGTTATTTTTTTAAAGCTATCTCTTCTTTTGCTGCCCTCTCCTTCCCCCTGGCACGCAGCACATTGGGTTTGTAACCAGAAAGCCCTAGTAACTGGTGTGTGTCAGTATTTTCATGTCATCTTTCAGCTCTTGCCATAATTCATTCTCCTTCCCAAGGATGGCTTCAACAGATACCGGCGTCTCTTGCTTTACGATAACTGGGGCTGGCAGGGCGGAAGATTTGTGTGTGCTCGTCGGGTACGAGCCTTCACACGTTTACTCAGTGCTCTGTGTTTGCAACACTTGACAAAGTTTATTTAAAAGACAAAAAAAAAAAAACCCCAGCTTTTCCTTTCCCTTCCAGTGCCAGACGCTGTGTGTTTGGGGTAGCAGAGAGAAGGGAAACGCTCCTGACAGTTTAATAGCTTGAAGTTTACTTACGGTGGGTTATAATTCTGCTGTTTGCCTGAATTTATTGGGTTGGTATTTTGTCTCTTCGTGGCCTGACTACAATAAGAAATGCGATGCTGGTTTCTGCAGCTGATCCATCAGTGCTGCTGTACCGTCCCTGCCAGGCAAGTGGGATGAGCAGTCGTTTTGATGGGGGGGGGGGAGGGAATGGTAAGTTAAAATTTGGTCCTGGAGATGCACCTCCTGCAGCCCTGTGCCCTATTGGGGTCAATCCTGGGACAACCAGGAGTGATAAAGCAACTCGTCCATCTCCCGGAGCAAGGGGACGAGCAGAGGTTTTGCCACGGAAAGGATGGAAAAAGCAGAGAAGAAAACATTTAGCTGCAAACGCAGAGCTCGAACACGGGCTCCTCGTCCCTGTGCAGGACGAAGATGCAGTGTCAAACATGGAAAACCTCTTTCCTCTTGGGACAACTAGTATTTCCGCAACGATGTATTTTTTACTTTGCAGAAGTATTAGAAAATAGGCAGCAGGATGGTGTGGAAAACATTCGATACGTTGCAATTAATTAAGCACGTGTAATAATGGGGTTTCTCCTCTCACAACGAACCTTTCCTTCATTTCTTTCTACAGCTGCTAAGATGCTGTTCAGACACTTGAGGAATTTCCATGAAATCAGGGAAAGAAGCGAAAGGTCCTGGCAACATAGCGTTTCACAAAGAAATTCAAAAGGGAAAATAACTAAAAAAAAAAATAATAAAAAAAAAAAAAAAAAATTGCAGCCCTGTACAAGATTGAAAGCAGCAGAAACCAAATTAAGGTTTGACATTGTCCGGAAAACAACCCTGACCCCAATCTAGGCACGAGCCGCCGCCGCTGCGGGGAGAGGTATTGCACACCGGGAGCCGGGGCTGCCTCTGGTGGGGTTTTGCTGTTTTTTTTTCCGTGGGCAAATCCTCACCTGCGTGACTTCCTCATCCTCGGCTGAGGTTTTGCCTCCCGGGAAGCGCGCGGGAGCCCCGGTGGGATGAAAGGCTGGTGGCTTTGGGGGGACACTAACGCGGCTGGGCTTCCCCTGGCAGAGGGGTGCTCATGGGTGGCAGCCAGCCTCTTTGAGCACCGGGGTTTTATTTATTGGTGGTTTTCCATATTTCTCCCCGGCCGTAGGACCCCGGAGCCTTGGAGATACTCATACTTTCCCCTGATTGCTGAGCTCCCAAAAGTAGAGGTCTAAGAGGAGCTTTTAAGTTCTCCCAAGCAGCTGCCACGTGTCTCCCAGTCCCGCTGTGACAGCGGCACGGCTGCGCCACTGACCGCAAATGATTTTTAAAGACGTGGTGGGGGTCAACCCGCCAAAGCTGAGGTTT